TGAAATAGCAATAAATTTCGTTCTGAGGTGCCCGTGCAGCTTTGAACAGTTGAGCTCAGCGACTGAACAATGCGTGGCCAACACAGGAAAACATGCTGGCATGGAAAGGGTTAACGGAAGAAAGCGCTGCGAGCTCTCCCCACCATGAAGCACATCGGACAGCCAAATCAATAGGGAATGGGTCATCCCAACCACCGCCGAGCTTCCAACTCTCTTGCAACATCATCTTGCCTGGCACAACTGCGGGTGACGCCCAACCTAGCGGATCGAACACAGCGGCAACACAACGCAACAAAGCACGACGAGACCAACCAGACACTTCCTTGGGACACTCAACATCACCGAGCGCAGCCACCGAAATACAATCTGACTCGGTGTTCCACACAATACCCAGTGCCTTGGAACCAGCCTCGGGGTCTGAGGTCATCGTGTTCCCTCGCCACTTCCGCAACTCCATGCCTGCTCCCTGCAAAACATTAACGCTATACTCCTGCAGCTTTTCAGCATCCGCACAGCATGGCAAGCTAGAAACGCAATCATCAACATAAAAACTACGCAGCAGCAGCTCTATGATATCACGCTCAGCAGCAGAAGCAGACTCGAATGCACTATCGAGATGAAAGCGCAGCACAGCACTAAGTATGAAAGGAGAACAATTCACTCCAAAAGGCAGCTTCTTTAAACGCCAGATACACATTTCTTCGCTACCTATCTCAGGCCAAACAAAACGCAGATATGGCCTATCTTCTTCACGCATTCCGATCATAAAAAAAGCCTTGCGAATATCGGCTTGTACAGCACATTCATACTCACGGAACCTGAGGAGGATACCAGTGAGATCCGGTAAGAGTGATGGCCCGGGATCGACCATGTCGTTTAGGGATGGTGCTCCGGTGCAGGCGGCGGATGCATTGAAGACGACCCGTGTCTTCGTCGTTGAGGCGTCGCTACGGAATACGGCATGATGCGGCATGTAATAGCCGGCTTCCTCCGGATGCGGTTCCTTTTCAATGGCATCCAGCTTCAAGTACTCAGTGATGAGGACGTCATCATACGCTGGACGTTGACCTCGTCTCTGTAGCTGCTTCAGCAGTGAGTGTGCCGCTGCCATCGCTTGGTTTAGGTTGGCTGGCGGACGCTTCTCAGATCGCCATAGCAATCCCACTTGGTAATGAGGGCCTTGCCGCTCTATCGGGAAGTCCGGTAACGTCTCAGCTATTTCCGGCACCTCTTCCATCTTCCACAGTCGGTCAAGTTCAATACAACTCACACTGACGGTCGCTGACTTGGTTTCACTATTAGCCGGTCCTGACAGCACCCAGCCTATTTCAGTGTGCCAGGCCGTCTCTCCATTGATTTGCTCCTTGCGGAGAAGGAACTCATTGCAGTAGTCAGCTCCAATCAGCATGTGCACTTCGCTTGATCCGGCCTTTGTCGAGTCATCAGACAGCTGCAATCCCTGTGACTGCCAACGTGCAATTGTGCTGTCTGCTAACGGATCGAACCGGAGACCTAGCGACTTCTTTTGCCAGGCATTGACGGAAATGGACTTCGTTGCACCCTTGATGGTGACACGGTACCTGTCCATCTTTTCAAACTTCGGCTCCACGTCAAACGCCTTCAGCCTAACAGTTTGCGATCCAAGGTGTGCCGGTTGCAGCGAGTTCACCAGTGGCGCGGTGATGAACGATGCCTGCGCACCTGGGTCGATGAATATGCGTACACTGGCCTTTCGGCTAGGTCCTTGTACCTCAGCCACGCCGGTCATCAAGTGCACGCTGTTTGCACTACATTCATACGTACCGACTTTCGATTCGGCTATCGGTTCGGATGTTACCTGTTTGTCCTCTCTGTGCAGTAGACTGTGGTGTCGCTTGTTGCAGTGCTTGCAACGACCCTTGTTCTGACAATTCATCACTCGATGTCCTGGTCTCAGGCAGTTGAAACACAGTCCCTCTGCCTTGACGTACGCGTTTCGGTGCTCAGACGCCATAGCTGACAATTTCTTGTTAGCCTCATCAACGCTGACCGTCAAACACTCTGCCGACGCAAACGGTATACGTTTGTCGCTGGTGCTAGACTTGGCAGGCTTCAGCTTGCTACGTCCGTGGGCTGTTTGGTAAGCCATACCATCCTCCGCAAACGCCTTCAAGTCCTTCGTGTAACATCTCTTCTCGATCAAGAAGGCCTTAGTTTCTGCCGACACAGCTTCTAGCAGGACTTGACGTACGACACATCCGAACAATTCAGTGTCGTCCAGCTCACCGATTTGTCCGCGGCTAGAGGTACGGCTAGGCCTGGCGAGTTTTGCCCACTTCTCCGTCTCGCGCGTCACTCGTACCACAAACTGGTAGAAACTCTCATCACTTTTCTGCTGTATGGCCATCAGGGCTTGCCACGCTTTGTCGGCGGTCTTCCCATGCGCCATCAGCAGCTCGCGCTTCGCTTCGGCAAAGGTGTTGCAGCCATAGCATGCACCTTCCAACTTGCTGCCAGCAACAGCCACGCGCAAGCGGATCAGGTACTCGTCGTCGCTGAACTCATTTTGCTTTGCCACATCCTCGAACAGTTCGAGATAGGTCTCAACAGTCTGCTTACCGTCGAACTTCGGCATCTTGATGGCAGCCCTCTTGCTCGCTAAACTGCCATTCGTCGTATTCAACAAAGTGCTCTCATCACTCTGAGTCTCTCGTGTGTGCTGGACTTGCAACTCCAAATCTGCAATCCTCGCAAGCAGCTGCTCGTCATCTTTCCTTTCCAATCTACTTCCTGCTCGTTCGTCGCGCTCTCTGTCTGCACGCACTTTCTCCTCGTGCTTCTCGATACGCTCCTCTACGTAAGTACGCAATGCCTCTCCAGTGTAGCCATAAGCTTGACCATTTGCGATCAGCTTCGCTTCTACCTCATCCATGTTCACGCGTCTCGATCCTGGCGTGGTCGCCAAAATGTTGTGTTCACTACTAACACCTCAAAAGTTTCAGGATCGCACAGACGCCACAAGACAAAAGGTCACGTAATTCTTTACGGACTATAATGAATGAACAGTAGAATACATTGAGAAGAAGAGACTGGAAAAATACGAACTACATCGGAAAGAGAACTCTAGAACACTAAAGAAAAACAAACCACAGCATCAAGGAAAAGAACAACGCATGAGGGGTAAAGCGCTGGCCAGCCACAACGTGCGTCCAACTTTGGCATGAGCGTACAGAAGAGCGTACAGCGCTCGGAAAGCGGAAGCTAAATTTGGCAAAGCGACAGCAATAGTACAGTACGGCGCGAGGCACATGAGCAGTACGAGGCGCGGCCCCTATACGCGTGTGCGGCAAACATTACACACCATGTACCATATATGCATGAACAGCGCGGGGCGCATGCTAACTCATTCAACATCAGTGCGCGGCGCAGGCATCTAGCTAGCTGGCGCAAGCATGATCATAATTGCATGCCATCACGCAATCAGCGCACATAAATCGCGCATCAAATAAATAAGTAATCAAACACAAATCAACACATCAACTAAATAAATCAACGAGCTAACAAGAACACAATTCAAAAATGCAACGAAGAAATAATTACTATTCTAGTCGGTTATTCGCATGGGACCAAGCGCAATGTCCAAGCTGATGAACTGTGATTGCACAAGGTAAGCCCAAGCTCCTGAGCTAACCGTTCTGGTGTGCAGTCTTCTTCGTGCTGCAAACACACACTACACAATGTGTCGTATCTCGTAACAAGTACTGTACCAAATCACAACGAACACTAACAATACGCAATAGTAAACAATAATCAAAAACACTACGCAAAAAAGCAAAGCAAGCAGCACCTAGCCAGGGAGACAAGCAGGAGTCACGGTCGCAACGAGATCTCGACGACACCCCAGAAGACCTTTCTCCGACACGATACACAACACACGTCTTGCAGCTCAACAGGAAGAATGGCTTTTCTAATCACGTTGTTGTACCGCCGTGCGTGCTGCAAGTTGGCACCTTCTGCAACGAACTCTGTATTTGAAGCGTTCTGGCAGCAAGTCAGCAATTGCTTTGTATGGCGGTGATGCAATGTCGTACAGTTTCGTCAGGGGAATATCCATGCCAATTGTTGCAT